TTAGGGTTTGGGGTTGGGGGTTTAGGATTTGGGGTGCAGGGCTTTGGGTTCAGGGTTCAGGGCTTTAGAACTTAGAGGGTTTAGGGGTAGGGGTTTAGGGTTTAGGGGTTTAGGCTTTTCGGCTCTTGGCTGAATCTGAAAGGGTGGTTAACTCCTAAAGGCCCATACGAGCCTCAATAACCAGTGTATATCTTTCATGGTCCTTGCTTGCAGTTCAGACTACGCTTTCATTGTTCGGCCCCACACCCTACATGGACCCAAACCGCACAATCCCGAATTGGGAAGACAAAAAAGATCAACGTTGCGGCTGCTTTTTTGCACATTTCCGACAACGGTAAACCACCCAAGCTCCCGAACCATCAACCCTGAACCAGGAAAAAATGCTTAAAAAAGAAAGAGAGGGGCTTCATAAACTCCTCCTTCAAATAAGAAACCCCCAGACACCCTAAGCCCTAAACCTCTAAACCCCTGAACCCTCAACGGGTGCCGCATTGTAGGCCGGGCTCGCTTCCCAGAGCTTCGCCGTGGCCGGGAAGGGTCTGCAGACACAGGCTTGTGGGAGAAGACTGTAGGTGTTTAGGGTCTATGGTTCCTTCAAGGGTTGCTGTAAGGGTTACTAAAAGGAGGGTTTATGGTTCAATCTAAGGGTTACTGCAAGTGTAGGGGTTATTACAAGGGTTTCACTGTTTAGGGCGTGCAGGGCTCCGTACTAGTATCATAGAGATTGTATCAAGGTTTTGGCGCATTAGAGAGCTTAGTGCTATTTGTTCAGGACCTCATAGGGTATATATATATATAGATATAGATATAGATGTGTGCATATATATATATATATATTTATTTATTTATTTATGTATGTATATATATATACTTGTGTATGTTGATGTTTCTTTTTAGGTTTATTTTCATGTCTTTATTTATAGTTCTATGTGTTTCTTTATTTACGTCTATACTCATATTTATATTTGATCGTTGAGTTTCATTGTTATATTATATTTTTATACGACCGTAATTCTGAAATAAGGTGGCTCCTCAGGTCCTCCTGGTTTATCCCGAAAAAACTTCCGGTATTGAGGGTCGCACCATGCTCCAGTAAGCAGTGTGCCGAGGCTTGTAGAGGCATCCTTAATGGCTATCCGATGCATATTCCGTGCTATGCACAGTTCAGAGCTTAGGATCGGGTGGATTCTTCAGGGATATGTGATGATAACGGCTGTAGCCCCATTTAACGAAAGGTCTGGTTTGGCACTGCGTGCAGGAAGTGTGGAAGAGGGCTTAGGGTTTAGGGCTTTGGGTTTAGGGTTTAGGGGGTTAGTTGGTAGGTCAGTCGTGGGCTTGAGGTTTGAGGATGGTGGGCTTGTTGTTTCAGTGCTTGGGGAGCCATGTTCAGGGATAGTGGGGGCAACAGGCAGCCAAGAACCCATACCAAGCTTCTGGGGGTTTGCAGGGCTTCAGAAACATGTTACCGCAGTTTGTCAACTCTTCTTTGTACCGTTTGTGGTTCCTCACCATTACTCAATTTACATTCATGCCCCTCCCAGGTTGTCCATCATGCTACTAGTACCATGCCTTTCGAGGTGGTTCAGAGCGCCCTAAACCCTAAAACCCTAAACCCTACACCATGTTTGCCTAAATCTGCGCCTGAACCTGCACCTTGGACCTCTGAATATTGAAAGAGCCACAGCAATGCCAGTGCTTGTCCTACAGCGAACCTCTGCTCTGGTAGATTCACTGTCATCCGATCATGCTGGTTGCTGATGTTGCTGTTGGCCGTTGACATGAGTGGAGTTTTGAGGTCTTACCATGATCTCCAACCCTATAAACCCTGAACCCTAAACCCCAGCCCTAAACCTTTAACGCTCACCCCTGAACCCTGCCCCTTTTGATCCCTGTTAACTCTGAACCATAAGCCCTTAACCCTACACCCTAAACCCTCAACCTTAAGCCCTTAACCCTAAACCCGATCAGTGACAGCAGGAGCCTGTGCGCATGACTTCCCTGCGCGGCCGTGCTGCCGAGGCGGGAAAGGGAGGGGAGAGGTCTCTCTCGGTGCAGAGGAACATTAAGGGTTTAGGGTTTAGGGTTTAGGGTTTAGGGTACTTTGTTGAAGGATGGTAGTAGATTATGTTGCGAGGCGATTATCGGGCAACTGCAAGGTTTACGTTGTCCAAAACTCGAAACCTTACAATTTCCTTCTGGTCACTCCAGAATCATACTCGAATAAAACCCCCGAAGCCCTCTTCTGACTGTGAAGACCACTGTTAATATAGGGGCACAATATTTAGAACAGGATGTTGGGGTCGATTATACTATAAGTATAGTAAGTAACCGCCTAAAACCCTATTCTAATTATTAAGGCCCCCACATTACGCCCGACATCTTTGGGGCACTAGGTGCTAAAGCCCAGCAGAAAGACTCCAGGTTTGAGAGTCGCCGGGAATTTAGGGCAGGAGCCATTTCGGGTTTAGGGGTCTAGGGGTTTAGGGTTTAGGGGTCTAGGGTTTAGGGTTTAGGGTTTAGGGGTCTAGGGGTTTAGGGTTTAGGGTTTAGGTTTAGGGTTTAGGGGTATACTCATCTCTGAAATTGCGTCTTCTCGCAGATTCTAGCACATGGGTTTAGGGTTTAGGGTTTTAGGGTTCTAGCATATGAGAAGAGAAGTACCGCGAAGCTCCTTCCTCTGGCCCCAAGCCCCTGAGCTTCGACGAGCTTCTCCGTTTCATCAAAACCATGAAGACCATGAGGGTTTAAAGCTTAGGGTTTAGGGTTTAGGGCTTATGGTGTAAAGTTTAGGGTTTAGGGTTTAGCGTGTTGAATTTGGGGTTTAGGGTTTAGGGTATAAAGCTTAGGGTTTAGGTTCAGGGTCTACAGGCAGCCCCGCCCCCTCCACCCTTCCCAAACCTAAGACAGAACTAGCAGCTTCCAGACTCTACGTCCTCAGCCTTATAAACACTAAACCCTAAACTTTAAACCCGAACCCCTAACTTTTAAACCCTAAGCTCTGAACTTGAAATCCTAAACCCTAAACCCCTAAACTCCTGAACCCCGGAACCCCTAGACCCCTAAACCCTAAACCCTTAAACCCTAAACCTCTAAACCCTCAACCTCAATCTTCTCAGACGAAGTCCTCCACAGAGATGCCTTTGGGTGCCCTGGCACTGGCCACCGCCGGAGCTTGGGCCTAAAAGGCACTTAGGGTTCAGGGTTCAGGGTTTAGGGTTCAGGGTTTAGGGTTTAGGGTTTAGGGGTTAGGGCTCAGAGAGTTTTAGGGTTCAGGGTTTAGAGTTTTTCGGGTTTTAGGATTCTCGGGGGGGGACCGCTTTTGGGCGCTGGGCTTTCGAGTTTCTGCGCTTGGGGACCTGGAGGCTTCTTAGTTTTGGAGTTTAGGGTTTAGGGTTTAGGGGTTGGAGTTTCCTCTCTTTGGGCTTCAGGGCTGAGGGGTTTGCGGGTGTAGGTTTGAGACCTATCGCACTAGGTTTCTAGTGCTGCAGCCAAGCGAAATTGAACAGCTAAACTAACTAAACTGGCTGAACTATCTAAGCGACCTAAGCGACCTAAGCCATCTAAACCAACTTAACCAGCTTAGTTGACTTAGCTAGTCAGCTGACTTGACTAGCTAATTAATTCACCAACTAACTACCTAACTAACCATCTATCGAACGAACTGGCGAACAACGAAGTACACTTGTCATCTTCAGCTAACTGGTGTGCCGTTTTTTCGCCAGAGCAGTACGGGCGACCACTATGCAGCGGATCTGCCATGTCACGCAAGTTAGAGCAGGTAAGACCCTAAACCCTAAACCCTAAACCGGGACAGCTGGGATGCAACTCCACAGGCGGATCGGCTCAAGCAGGTCAGCGTGGTTTTCTGGGCCACTAAACAAGCCGTGGGTGCAAGGTGTACTCGCGATGTGGCGCAACGGGGTCTCCAATGCGGGTGTCAAAAGCATCATGCCGCTGGCCGATCAGACGTCCGGGAGGCAATCCAGCTTGGAGTCGATTTTGCAAGCTGGAATGGATCTGTGCACAGGTTAGAAACAGCCGCGATGGCATGATCTGGCTTTTTCTCCTATGCATGCGTGCGACCAGGGAACTCACGAAACAGACTTTTAATGAGGGTTCGGGGAGCTGATACGCCATCAGAAAATGTTCAGGCAGCATGGGACACTGCAACGAACCATGAAGACAGATAGTCGTTTTTCTTTGAATTTAGATGTGCGTGACAGCCCTAGCTACATTTAAGCCACCCAAAATCCATCAGATCGGAAGTATTCAATGACTATGCGGTCGGTTTGGGGCTCAATGGCTTCAGGGGTGCAGGGCTTAGCATGTATAGGCTGTATAGGTATTTTGTTCATGATTTGGTGTTTCTGTCGTAATGGCTTCCTTTTATAAGGATTCGCAGAAGATGCATGTTGCTTGTCTTTTAACAGAAGAGTCTGAATGCAGATGCAGTTTACGTGTTAAGCTTTGGGGATTGGGGGTCGCGGGACTCAAGCCCTTAACAATACACCTAAACCCTTAACCCTGAAAGGTAACCCCAAACCGCGAAACCCGAAACCCCCAAACCCCTAAACCCCCTAAGCCAACAAAAACCCTAAACCCCTAAGCCCCTAAACCCTGAACCTTATCCATGACCTGACCGTGCCTAAGGTCGCAGGCATCTATGGCGCCAACAGTGCCGGGCTCAGTTTGAGCAGCAACGGCTCGAAAACAAACTTGCCCTAAACCCTAAAACTTTAGAGCCCCAATCCCTGTGCTAGCGCTACAGTAAACAGTCCTGAATGTGATGCTTCCGGGTTTAAGGAGAGAGTAGAGGAGAGGTCATAAAAGTTGGAGCCTCAATGTCCCCATGCTCTTGAGTTAGAGCTTGGCGAATCTCTCCACTGATCATACTCTAACTGATGCTCTCCATCTGTAAACTCCCTGAGTTGCGGGTCTAAAAGTCAGAAGCCCGAAATGCTAAGCTCCCAGACTCCGTGGCTTCTGCGCGTGGGGTGTGGTTGCAGGCTTCAGGGTTTCAGGGCTTATGTAGAGGGCTTCAAAGATGGTCCTCAAAAGCCCACTACCATCACACCTGCCGCACCGCAGAAATTGCACGGCTTAGGGTTTTGGGGTGGATCTTCAGACAGTAGACGACAGTTCGTGACATGTTCTAGGACAGAAACTGTTAAATACTGCAGGCCGACCCATAGTAGTTCCTTTTTGAGATTACTTTATAGGATTCTAAATATGAAGCCCAAAAAAGAACTACTATGGAATGATTCAAAGCCAGGCTGGGGATGTGGTGCCATAACTGGGCACGCCGGTCCTGGCCTCCTGGGCTTTTGGACAGCCCCAAACCGTAAGCCCTAAACCCCCTAAACCCCAAGCCCTGAACCCTAAACCCCCCAAAGCCCCTAAACCCCCTAAACCCTAAACCCCAAGCCCTAAACCCTAAACCCTAAACCCTAAACCCCAAGAACTAGGCCCCCTAAGCCGTAAGCCTTGCCCTCTTCGACATCAGGCCGAAACTCCAAGAAGGCTCGGGCGCAGGCCGTTGTCCGCCAGGCGAAGGACAGCTGGGGTTTCCGGGTTTAGCGTTTAGGGTTATTTAGGGTTTAGGGTTTAGGGTTATTTAGGGTTTAGGGTTTAGGGTTATTTAGGGTTTGGGGTTTAGGGTTTAGGGTACCCTAACCCCCCAGGTACCGACTATATAGGGTACTAGGGGCTCTAGTACCCTATGTACTAGGTACCTGGGGGTTGGAGATCTGCATCGGTATAATCTCTAGATTTCTTTTGCATACATGCTTCTAACAACGAACACAGCAAACAACATATGCATGTACATAATATATATAGTTGATGCATAGAATATGTTCATATTTTTTTATTACCGTTGGTGATAGTATTACTACTGGTCTTATTGTTGTTGCTAAAATTACTACTGCGACCAATGTAATTATTGATCGTATCAACCCTCTAGTTGTTGCTCTTGTATCTACTGCGACCAATGTGATTATTGCTGTTATCAGCACTCTTGGTTTTGCTCTTGTTGCTTCTGTTACGAGTATCATTGCCATCATTATTGGTATGATGATGATAATTATTGTTGGCAACATTGTTATCATGATGATAAGTAATGCTTTTATTGTTATGACTAAGATTGCCATTTCCAGCATTGTCGTGCTGGTTGTTTAGCATTAGTTCTTTCACAAGCGCATTAACAGTAGCAGTAGTCATAGTCTTAGACTTGGTGCCAGGGCTAGTGTCAGCACATATATATTTCCATCACTATTCATCTTATCATTCTTCTTGTTGTTGTATGTAATATGTTCATTAATTAATATCAATCTACTTATTCTTATTAGCCTCATTATTTTCCTGAGTATCAAACTAATTATTCCTTTCAGTGTCATTACTAACAGACCGGGCTCCGATAGTACGTAGTCACGAGAAGGCCGAAATTGGTCGGGAAGCGCCTGTTATCGCTTGCATAGACCGCTGGTACTGTTCATGTCCATCTATGTATCATAGCACTAGTATCCGAAGCGGCACACCCTGTCGTCGAGCCGGCTTGCAACGGTTATATTCAATTTCCCAGTCCAGGGTCTGTGGTGCACATGCAGTGGCGGGTAACATTGGGGTCGGAGGAACTACTAGAACTATTCCCCTATAATGTTGCCAATCCTAGTTTGGGGGCCCCTTCGTCTAATTAGACCACAAAATCCTAGTTTAATTATGAAGGCCCCTACATTAGTCCTTCTTATAACCTAGATAAGCAAGACTGGTGTAGCAGCGAGGTCACCAGAAGTCTCCCCCTCCTCCCTGCCGTCTCCGCAGCTAGGACCATGTCACCCCTGAACCCGGTAGGATTAGAGCTTATAAGGGTTCAAGGGTTAAGGTAGGATTAGGGTGTAGGGTTTGGGGTTTTAAGGGCTTAAGTGTTGAGAGTGAGGGTGTCTCGCGGTGTAGGGCAAACTTATAGAGAAAGGTAGTCTAGGAGTCTAGGAGCACATAAAGCAAGTTGCAAATGTCCTTACTGTACAATACATAATAAGCTTGGATAGATAATGAGGATATGAAAAGACAAAGGAACACATAGAGGCTCTGAGTGAAACCATGCCGCACCCTCAGAAAGCCCTAATACACTCTTCACTAAATGGGCCCAGAGAAGCTACACGCATCGAAAAAGACCAAGAACCTACAAATATCCTTTCTGTGAACGAGGCTCAAACAAACCCTGAAGGTCTTGGACTAAACACACAACCACTGTTGGAAACCATACAAGAACCCAAGAAAACCCCAAACACCTTGAAAACCGAAACACCCTACGGAAGCTAGGACACCCTAAACCCCAAATCCTAAGCCCTAAACCCAAACCCTTTCTCCAAAGCCAAGCTAGGACCACATCAAATCCTTTTTGAAAGCGTTACATCCGATACATCCTAAACCCAAGACAGGACCACATCAACATCCCTAAACCCCCAACCCCAAATCCAAAACCAAAACCCTAAACCCTAAACCCCAAACCCCAAACCCAAGCTAGGACCACATCAACATCGGAACCATCGGTCACGTTGACCACGGCAAGACCACGCTCTCGGCCGCGATCTCCCTGGTGTGCGGTCAGCCAGACCCCTGGGCTGAGCCGAAGAGTTCTCCTCTTTGAAGTGGTATTTGAAGGGACTCTTTTGGGTTTGGGGCTGGAGGTTCAGGGCTTTCGATTGTTCCTTTCTTTGGGGTGTTTTCGGGGTTTGTGGTTTAGGGCTTAGGGTTTTCGTGTTTTGTTTTCGGTGTTTTGGGGATCTTAGTATTAGCGCTTAGGGTTTAGGGTTTGCGGTTTCGTCTTTTGGGGTTTCGTAGGGCACCTGTACGGCCTGACACAACGGGATACCCGTTAGGAGTCCCAGTCATAAATGGGGGGGTTCCGAAAATAAGGGGCCCTAATGCGGTACCCCAAATAGCAGGGTTGTTATTATAAGGACCCCAAAATAAGGTACCCCTTATTTTCGGAAACTCCCAAATCGGATCTAGGGTTTCGGGTTTAGGGTAGCGTTTATATGAACCCGGCGACCCGCATATACTTTGCTCCTAAAGTTGCTATGGAGGATCCCTTTGAAGCTTTCACTACGCCCTTTAAACCTGGACCCTTGAGATACGGGATTGTTGTTCATATGGGTTTCCGAAAATAGGGGACCCTAATATAGTACCCTAAAATAGTAGGATCCTGATTATAAGAACCCCAAAAGAGGGTACTGTACCCTAATTTTCGGAAACTCCCAAAAAGGTTTCTGTCAAGCCGATGTTCGGGCTGTTGCGGATCGCAAACTTGAGTGAGTGAAGAAGTGTCTCTTGGGCGGGGCCCAAGCTGGTCGTGGAGGTCTCCAGAGGCTCCAAAAATATAGGTTTAGGGTTTTTGGGTTCAGGGTTTAGGGGCTTAAATAACTCCCAATACTATTTTTAGTTATTTTTTTATTTTTTTTTGGGTGGGAGGGGCTCTTTATTCGAATTAGAGTATGATGGACCCCCAAAACCAAATTCTAATTATTAAGGCCCCTACCGCATCCGAGGATCACTTTGCCTGCTCGGGCTCAAGCTCCCTGCAATTGTGATCTAAAGATATCGTGCATTTCTTATTGCATTTTGGGGAGGGTTTAGGGTTTAGGGATCACCATGTTGAACCCTAGACCCTAAACCCCTAGACCCCTAAACCCCTAAACCCTAAACCCTAAACCCCTACCCCCTACCCCCTAAACCCTAAACTCTAGACTCAACTTTCGACGGCCCGAAGCCCCGCACCGCCGGCAAGGTTCAGCACCTCTGACGACACGACGAAGAAATCCTACGAGGCCGCAACTTGCAAGCTTGCCCCTCAAAGTTTAGGGTTTAGGGTTTACGATTGCTGTTCTGACGGCCGGGCCCAAACCCCTGAACCCTGAACCCCCTAACCCCTAAACCCTAAACCCTAAACCCCTAAACCCCTAACCCTAAACCCCAAACCCCTAAACCACGAACCCTACATCCGACATCACTGAGTAGGCGATACCAGCCAGGGATCTCGAGGTTCGCATAAACTTTCGAGCAGACTAGGTAATCTTTAAGCTTTTTTTTTGTTGGTGGGGGGGGGGGGGGTATTGTAATCCCTATAGAATCCCAAAGGATTCTCGGCTGTAGGGTTTAGGGGAGTGTTTATAATCCCTGAAGGGGTTTCCTCAGGATAGGGGACAGCTAAGCAAACGCAAGAAACCTCAGGGATGAAAGATTAAAAGCCTTGATGATTAGAATAGAGTTTTGGGGCCCATTATGCTAGAATCATAATAAGGTGAGCCCTAAACCCTAAACCCTCAACCCCACATTAAGTGCAAGATTCAAGAGCTCAAAGCCTGAGCTTGCAACAGGAGATCGACAACGCCCCCGAGGACCCCTTGGGGTGGTGTGGGGGTCGTTTTTCAGGCTTTTCCCTCGAAGGGTTTATGTGCCCAAATAGTATGCACTTTGGCCTTAAGGTAGTCGCTTTTTTGGGTACGTTGGGGCCAAAGTATATACTATTTGGGTACATGGATTTGTCAGTGGGTCTTAAGGGCATAGGTCATGTTTTTGGCATTGGGGTTGAGGTCTTACGGCGAGAACTTCAGGGGGTTTGGCACCTGCAGGAGTTGATTTTGGTAGACTTGCTGATAGTGTTGGCCTAGCATCTTGCAAGCGTTTAAGTCTTTGTCGTGTGTCGAAGTGTTGAAGTTGCAACTCTTCTTGTGTACATGTTTGTAATGCCTGTTGTTCGGTGTTTGGGGGCTCCTGTTGTTTTGAAATGTCTCTGCACGTGGAGCTTTAGCATTTAGTATGGCGCCATCGTGGCACGGCTGCATACAGTTCGGTAGATTGCACTCCAACCTCCGCTGTCGTTGTCTAAGGCCCTCTTGTGCCCGACAGCCAAATACTAGTGGAGCGAAACAAGAGTATGGCAGCGACAGGGATACATTTCTGGGAAACACCGACCGATGTTTGCCATTATATAACCAAGGGCTTAAAGTTTAGTAGTTAGATTTTGGGCTTTCGGGGTTTATAGTTTCGGGTTCGGGGGCGTTGAAGCGCTTCAATTCGCGTCATGTAGACGGTGGTTTATTCCTTATATGACAGTTCGCCGACAGTTCCTACCCATAGTGTTGGTTAACTAGCCATGACACAATCCGAAAACCACTACGTTGCAGAATATACCTTCATAAAGCTCTGCCGATAATGTATGGGCCTAAATCACTACCTATACTATTTTGGGGGGTTCCTTATTATAACTATAGTATAATTGGCCCTAAAACCTTATTCTAATTATCAAGGCCCTACTACATTACCGGTTCGAAGGCCCTCACTTAATAAGCAGCTTTGACTTGGAAGGAGCGTGCGCGTGGTATCACCATCAACGCCTCGCACATCGAGTACGAGACAGAGACCAGGTCTGGGGGATAAAGGGTTTAGGGTTTAGGGTGAATATTGGTAATTATTAAGGCTTCTAATAATATTATCCTTTACCCCCGGAGGTAAAGGATAATATAGAAGCCTAAATAATTACCAATATTATTCCTTAGGTACCTTATTAGAATGATAGCTGTAAAGGAGCCCCATGCCCTATTCTAATTATTAAGGCCCCTACATTACGAGGGTTAGCCTTCAGGGTTTAGTGTTCAGGTCAAGGAGGTTTCAACGCATTAGGGTCTTGAGGTCTAGGGCAATAAGCACAAAACCTTCAATCTCGGAACCCGTAAACTCAAAACCCTAACCGAAAAATACTCTGGAAAGCCGCCGCTTCGGGATGGGCCGTGAAACCCTCAAGCCCTAAACCTCCAAGCCCAAAACTTCTAACGCGTTGAAGTCCCTGGGACTATTGCGACCTTGTCGGATCCTGATGCCAAGTCCCCACGCCTCAACTGAAGACCTCTTTCATGTAACCTGCACCCACGCTGCTCAGCTGGACCCCACAAGCACAATTGGAATAGTAGTGTTCAATTTTGTTTACGTTTCTTATGGTATACTATACTTATATGGAAAGAACACCAAGACCCGAACAGTTTGGCAAACATTCAGGACCCAATATTCTCGATTGCCAGGCACTACTGCCACGTGGACTGCCCTGGCCACGCAGATTACGTCAAGAACATGATTACAGGAGCATGTTCAGCGCTGTCAGTCCTCTTGTCCTTCCGGACATCTGGTGGTACAAAGTTGAGTCAATGATGATGGCATATGTGCAAGAAGCTTGTACATGTGAATACAAAGGTAGATGTGTGTGTGTGTGCGTGTGTGTGTGTGCGTTTGTCTTTGTCTTTGTCTTTGTCTTTGTCTTTGTCTTTGTCTTTGTCTTTGTCTTTGTCTTTGTCTTTGTCTTTGTCTTTGTCTTTGTCTTTGTCTTTGTGTTTGTTTGTTTGTGTGTTGCCTGTCGGTGCAGATGAACGTGAGCATCGTGCGCGTGTATATATGTACACTTGTATACATATATATATATATATATGCTAGCCCCCCCCCCCCCTGGACCAACCTTTCACATGAAATCTTATATACTTTCAAAAGTCCAGAATTCACGATACTGTTTTTGAGTTCCAGAAATCTTAGACCTGCCTAAAATTTC